GGGTTAACCTTACAGTAGTACTCAACACTGATTACTGTCAGACATTCAAAATCCTTCATCACTTGTATTAAGATTATAATCATTTAATTTAAAGCACAGCCACCCCAAAATCAGACTTTAGCACCTCTTTTTACTTTGAGATCATTTTGAGGTTAGATCGAGATTTAAAATCATTCCAATCACGGCTCAAAAGTTTTATATCGGTATAAGATTTTTTTAAAATGTTTTTAAAAGAAGTCTCTTCGAACTTTCCCTAAAAATGAAAAAAAAGAAGGTTCTAACAAATAACAAGCACAACAAAATCAAGATTCTAACACTCTTCTAAGAACATTCTTAAGGCAGTAAAAACCAATTAACTGCGCTCGAAAGCTATCACCTTACACTCTTTCCTCACGGCTGTACGTGTTTATCAGCCTCTCAGTGAGCTGAGCTGAACTAAAGAGGGGACGGAGACAAAACGCATCTGGTTTGGCTTTCTCCTCAACCCGGCCAATCAGAAGAGTCATCTCACCCCCTTATCTCTGCCTGGAGTTTATCGGCTAAGTGGATGTGTAGCTACAAGTGTGAATAGCTTGTTTTGTCGGTTCACTGATGAGGGGTTTCATCCTCTGTGAGTATTCTGCATTCACCAGCCTGGTTGAACGACTATAATCTTTCATTCTGTAAGGACAGATGCTGTTCCATTCTGTGGTTAGGAAGTACCACCATAGGGATGAGCTTTTCCTCCCACTTCCAAAAGCTTCTGTAATCTTGCTCTGTCACATAAGGCAACATTTAAATTATGATCATGCTTTTAAGGCAGATGACAAGACAAGATTAGTGAGTCTGAAAGCACTTCAAAGATACAGGGAAGCATGCAGGCCGAACAAGGTGTGAGAGTGGGTGTCAAAGGGCAAAACGAGCAGATCTCAAGCTGTAGAAGTGAAACAAAATGTGTCTGACAGTGAGTTGGTTGTGGGGGGACGACATAATGTACAGCCGCTTTGTGTTTGCGCCCATTGAGAGGCAACCACCCTGAATCCTCACGCCTGTAAAAAAAGCAGGTGCGAGGAGGCAGTATGCTTTGTGTGTGTTCATACAGACAGGGTCATATCACAACAATCACAATCTCAATCATGAGGAAACCAGATGAGATACTGAAACAGCTTTTCCCAGCTGCCCTGTGTGTTGAGGTTATTTCATGACTGAGGGCAAGAGGAAGCAGTGTGAGCCAAATATACTACTACCAATAGCCTCACATGTTGACAGTGCAATTTCCTTTCAGTTGAGCTCTTTCAAGTTCATAGTGATGCCACAACAGTGTTTTCAAACTGTTATGCTCATGAGAGAAAAAAAAATATATATTTTATATATATATATATATATATATATATATATTATATATATATTGACAGTCTATCAAATCTTGCTTAATTTAATCTTTTCATAGGATGCATTGATTGTAACAACTGCAACAAATTACAATCTAAAACAGTGCATGCTGCCCAATCCATATAAAACATCACTTCTTTTACCACAGATTGTTTTAAATCATGTTACGAAGAAAGAAAGAATATAGCTGAAAGGTTTTCGGGTGATGTCATTGTAATAACATATTTTTCTCATTACTTTAGTAAAACATACTGTTGTGATTAGTTTTCTCAGTTTTATGTCTGTCCAATAGCAATATGAGGATTTTTTTGTGTCTTGAAAAAGTTATAAAATGTGGTACTTTTTTAATTTTCAGATAAAACAACTTGGATTTTCTGTTTATCAATAAATTCAGCAAGTCTGTAGAAATTGAAAGAGGCCAGGGGCTGCATAGTGGATTGCATTTACCTTGTTAGCAAAAGTGAATAATCCATAGCTAGAGGGTAGGAAGGATCAGTTTCCACTGGGATCCAAACAAGCAGGCAGAATTAATACCAACAGTGTGCCTGTTTGAAAGCAAACAAGCCGTGCATGCAGTAAGTTTGAAGAGGAGACACTTCTAGGACAGGCCAAATTATCATTCTTTATGTCCTGCAGGCATCTCGAAAAACCTATTCCAAGTTTACATTTTTTTGGCAGCAAGTGGAAAATCTGTGGAGATGAGCCATGAGTATTTTGGGAGATACTAAGTGGAGTTTTGCCAAAAAAAAAAAGAGTCACTCTTTACCAACTAGATGACATTGTACACAAGTGACTAACACAAACAGACTAAGTGTTAAAATAAGAAACACAATCTCTGATTGTTCCTTCTTTTCATAGGATGCATTGATTGTAACAACTGCAACAAATTACAATCTAAAACAGTGCATGCTGCCCAATCCATATAAAACATCACTTCTTTTACCACAGATTGTTTTAAATCATGTTACGAAGAAAGAAAGAATATAGCTGAAAGGTTTTCGGGTGATGTCATTGTAATAACAGATTTTTCTCATTACTTTAGTAAAACATACTGTTGTGATTAGTTTTCTCAGTTTTATGTCTGTCCAATAGCAATATGAGGATTTTTTTGTGTCTTGAAAAAGTTATAAAATGTGGTACTTTTTTAATTTTCAGATAAAACAACTTGGATTTTCTGTTTATCAATAAGTTCAGCAAGTCTGTAGAAATTGAAAGAGGCCAGGGGCTGCATAGTGGATTGCATTTACCTTGTTAGCAAAAGTGAATAATCCATAGCTAGAGGGTAGGAAGGATCAGTTTCCACTGGGATCCAAACAAGCAGGCAGAATTAATACCAACAGTGTGCCTGTTTGAAAGCAAACAAGCCGTGCATGCAGTAAGTTTGAAGAGGAGACACTTCTAGGACAGGCCAAATTATCATTCTTTATGTCCTGCAGGCATCTCGAAAAACCTATTCCAAGTTTACATTTTTTTGGCAGCAAGTGGAAAATCTGTGGAGATGAGCCATGAGTATTTTGGGAGATACTAAGTGGAGTTTTGCCAAAAAAAAAAAGAGTCACTCTTTACCAACTAGATGACATTGTACACAAGTGACTAACACAAACAGACTAAGTGTTAAAATAAGAAACACAATCTCTGATTGTTCCTTGAAATCAGAAGGTGCAAAATAATTAGAAAGGAATATGACCCTGCAAGGAAAAAAAAAATATATCAATCAAATGAATACCCACAAATTATTTACATCATTACTATTTTCTGAAAGAATGAAATCAAGAGATTAATTGTGATCATTTTATTTTCTGTTAACAACTCAAATTATATATTGAATATATACAAATATTGAAATATTTTCTGTGTATGCGTTGGAACAATACTTATGAAAAAACTGTACAAATATACTTGCATTTTATTTTACATTACGTGCACTTGCAGTGTACTTTCACAAGAAGATGCTGAGTATTACAATGTAAGTACATGGACTTAATATGGGTTAAGGATTGGTTTATGGTGCTATAAATACAAAGCAAATATTTTTCTGGTCATACTTTAATAATTAAAATACAAATATTTGCAAACATGTTTTTGCACTTTCTCTTTTTTACCACTGAATAAATGGAGCGCAAGGGGTTCATCATATTTGGGGGTCCTTGGCATTAAGAAGTTTTAGACCATTTTCATAAAAACAAAGCTTGAAAAATGATAGGCTATTAAATCAGTAAAAAAAAAAGTCATTGTTTTAGTTCCAGTCTTGGTGAAGTTACTGCATTTGCTTTTGTAAGCTGTTATGCCCTCTCATCAAAATGCTTATTTTGTCTTGAAGTCTCCTAGCATCAGACCAAATAAACACTCTGTTGAAGTGCATCAGCTATGCCTTGCCAACAGTTGTCTGTGCTTGAACAGCCCAAAGCATTTTGGTAGGAGGGTTGGGATTTATTGTTGAATAATACATGAGGAGGAGCCACACCAATGTCTCACCCATGAAAGAGAACATGTCTGCACACAAACCAGTCATGAATAAACATCAGACAGTAATTAAACTTGGTGGCAGCAACTTTATTCATTAGTAAACAAGCAAGAGCACATCTTCCTGTGCATGGTGAGGATTGGGAATGAAATGGTAATTGGAGGCCTTGTCTGATATTGCTTGGCATCATTGGGAAAGAGCAGGCCTGGTCAGAGAAAAAGCTCAGAAGCTGACCTCATTATCAGAAGTTAATTCCCTGACACTTAATTTGCTGCAGTTGGTAAAGACATAGCTGTCAAACTGAGGCCTGTATCTCTACTGCATAGTGATTAGAAAACTTCTCCTTATTCTTGACACAAGATAAGATATACTTTAATCATGTGATTAAATACGGGCAGTGACGTGGAGCGCCTACAGGTGGTACTCATAAACATTGTGTAATTTACAAAGTTTAATATAACTTAGCGTTTCTAAATCTCTAGTAAATAGCTCACTCAGATAATAATGGTATATTATAGATAATGGTAATCTGAAAATGTGCATGTGGTTTGGTAAAATGTTTTTTTTTTTTTTTAAGTGAAACGTGTTATTTGTCATTCACTGAGGTAACACCAACAAAATGAACTATTTTACTAATTTCAAAAATAATTATTTTTTTGTGTTTGAATATTCGAAATACACTACCATTCAAAAGTTTGGGTCAGTATTTTTTTTTATTATTTTGAAAGAAATTAATACTTTTATTCATCAAGGATGCATTAAATTGATCAAAAGTGACTAAATGTACTATTTCAAATCACTATTTGTTCCTTTGAACTTTCTATTCACTTTCTATTAAAATTTAACAATTAGCTCACAATATTACTGATTTACTGTATTTTTGCACAAATAAATGCAGCCTTGATGAGTATAACATGTACACACTTTAAAATGCATTGTTGTACTATTTAAATATTATATTGTATTGTTTTGCCCTTTCACACTGATGATGGTTTAAACACCATATATATTAAATTTGCGCTCAAACCAAATGGAAAAAAAAATGTGACTAGTTGGAATTTGGATATTCTGATTTAATTGTACTTGGCTTGAAATGTTGGAGAACCTCTGTGACAGAGGATATGCTATTTAAACGAATGCATCTTCTTGGTTTCCTTTTCCGTAGCATGCAACTGTAACCTCCATGCGAGGCGCTGTCGTTTCAACATGGAGCTTTACAAACTCTCCAGGAGGAAAAGCGGAGGAGTCTGCCTGAACTGCCGCCACAATACGGCGGGTCGCCACTGCCACTACTGCAAGGAGGGCTACTACAGAGACATGTCTAAGCCCATCTCTCACAGAAAGGCCTGCAAAGGTATGAAGGGTACTGATTCTAAACACCATGGGCGAAAAGAGCGACTGGGTTTGGTCTTAAGGGCCCAAAGTCTGCAACTTATCTCTTGACACTTCCTTAGGAAAGCAGAAAACGCCACGGCTAAGTGATTAGCTGGCTGTTTTCTACACAGAAATTCACAGTACCACAAAGGAACCAATTAGATGAACCGGCGACTATTCAAAATGCGTTACCCCTCAAATGGAGTCAGTAGGTCCAAAGGAAGAATTCTCACATTCCTGTGCACCTCAACCCCCATGAGTCTCTGTCAGCATGCAGCCCAAGGACAGGGATGTGGGTGGGGGAGGAGGAGGAAGGTTAAATCTTTCTGACATAGAGTTATTGGGATTCATTTGGGGGATGGTTTGACAGGACAAGCCAAACAAACAGAGCAGAGGTGTGAACTGATCCTTGTTACAGGTCAGATGAGTGAGAGGAATTGAGGTTAGGGGGAGGACGGACAGGAAGGGAAGATACGCAGGAGGGAATAAGCCAGCAGCTTTCCACAGGTGTGCAACTGGCTGGCGACAGCACACTTACCTGGGAGCTGTCCAGAAGAAAGGAGAGAAAAAAAGGCCAGGCTATTCTCGCCTAACTTTGCCGTGGGGCAAGATGCGTTGTGCAAACAAGCCCCCCGTCACACCTTAGCATCTCCTCATAACAAGGTCCATTCTGCTGCTGTCCATGACGGCTTAGGATCATTTACTTCCAGCTTTAGCTCTAGGTAAAATATTAGGTCTGTGCTGAAAGTTAAAGGCTTTGTTTTCCCAAACAGATAAATAGGTAAATAAATAAAAGCATCCATCAATCTGACAGTGAAGACGGTGGGGAATGTTTTCGCATCATGTGAGAAGGTTATACTCGAAGGCTGAACAGAAGGTGTTTTTGTTTTCCCGCAATACCATCCGCATGCACGGGTCCTCATTTACAACATCCACACAACAAAGCAATTAACCCTGCTGTTATATAGAGGCAGCTTAGGTTGTAAAGAAGTTTGATTTATATTTAGCTTTAAACTGAGGTAGAAAAACAACAACATATCCGAACGTGAATTTTGTAAGTTGAATTTTAGAAATGACATGTAACAAAATACATTTTTATGGTGTATTTAATTTTGGATTTACATTTTTAAAACTAAATTGTAGACATTTGGCATGGCATTTCATTTTTATTTATTTATTTTTTAAACGTGATATTTATCGGTTTATATGACATAATATTAGTTTTAAAGTTTGTAAATGTAACCAATCAAATTGTTTTTGTGGTGTATTTTATATGAGTACAGACTGTAGTATAAACAGCAGATAAAAAAAAAACAAAAAAACACCTTACAATTTTCAGATGAAGACTGATTGATTTAGGCATATCGTTTTCATGCAAATTCAAACATATTTAATTAATGTAAAAGTGAATGTGTGTTGTTTTCTCAGTTCTCAGACTACAGATCACATTCCACCTGATGAATAAGAAAAAAGATGAATGAGCATATAATAATATTCTCTGCATGGAAAGGCATTACACAAATGCATAACCTAACCAACATATCCATTCTGCCATACTCCAGACTGACATTTACCCCTCTCTGGTCTCTCGTTTTATTCTCCTGTCGACGTGGAATGCAAACAGACATTCATCATCCGACTGTGTGTTCCGCTAACCCCCCTGCTATGTGCCTTATTGAGGGAAGAGAATTTCTTTTTGTTTTCACTTCCTTTCTCCTGTGGACAAGACTTGATTCTTTCAGCATCCCATTACTCTCATTGGTGAGGTTTGCTCTGTTGGGATATGTTGGCTGGTCAAATGATGCATTTAATTGCAGAATATTGTGCACACTTCTGTATTACAGTGTGCAAAAGGAAAAGTCATCTGTGAGCTTGAATACGTTGTTTTAAAGCGAAATGTTTTGTGACAGAAACTATCACAGATTCAAAGGATGTGATTCAGTCAAGCTGGCATTAGATCACTCTTCAGTTTCATTTTTTTTTTTTCTGCTTTTGCAAGGCTTCCGTAATTAAAATCAAGGGTGAATAATCCTGCAGGTCTCTGATGACCCTGGGCCTTTTCTCTAAAGTTTTATTAAAATGATCTGCTTTGCTTGGAAAGTTAATGAACTCTTCTGTTTCTCTGAGATTTGAGACAGAGGTCATGGAGGATTTCCCAGGCATTGGAATTAGGGTCAACAAACCAAATGGAATTCACTAATGGTTCAAGCGTTAAAAATATCCATAATACACTTTAGATTGTTACAGAATTAGTAATAAACCTTTCAAAATATTAATGTACTACTATGATGGAGGAAATGTAGGGGGAAAATCAATTCTGGATTAAAAATGCATCGTGATCCACAGCCATTGAGAACTTTTTCGAATGTACATATAGATCATTGTAAAGAAGATTTGCTGCAACTGTACCGAGCTTTTTGATTTCATTGAAAATTCCCAGTGCTGAATGTTTGCGGTTGCTGTCATCTGCTTGCATGCTTTTGTCTGTCTCTATACATTTCTCATTGCTTTCGTTCTTTCGCAACAATCATCCACATTTGTTCTGTTTTTGGTCAAGTCATTTATCTTCAGGTTCAACTGCCTCATTAGACTTTTGTTATTTTATGCTTGGAACATTTATCAGCACTGCTAGCAAGCTCAATAACTTTTTCAGTATTTTACTATTTTACTTGCTTGGATACTTACGTCAGTTCGCTCCGGTTCTCCTACATTACACACTCTTGAGGTTTAAACACAGAAAAACACTGGCACTTTTCAAATGAGAGGGAGATCTCCAGTTAATCTCAGCTGATTACCTCAAATCGAATGTTGCTTCATTTTAAATAGGTCTGAAAACCTATTTCATCATGATTTACAAAATCTGTAACTTAAACAAGACATTTTTGTTCGATTTAATCCTGAAATTTGCCAGAGTAAGAGCTCCTAATGTAATTACAATCAAACACTGTCCAAGTTACACAGCTGTATTAGGTTACATCAAAACAGATGTACAAAAAAGGATGTGTGGTAATTATAGAAAGGTGACAAATGATATGAAGCATGGTATTTAATTCCTGCCAAAGAAAACATTTTCACAAGCTAAATATGCCATATATTGCAAGTTAATGAAAATAGGTGCAAGTATGTTGTAATATATAAAGCACCTAACTCCCCTCATGCTCATTCATTTAATGTGTTCACCACATACTTTGTCTTTCTTTTGACAAGTCCTCACACTCTTAATCAGAGCAATGAAATAGTGTCAACTATACAGTATACTATAAAAATGTACTCTAGGAAAAACAATTAAAGTGTTTTCTGTTCTCAAACAGAGCTTCAAATCTAAGGGTCCCTGCTTCTTGTGTAATATATGTGTATCTTGTTGAAGGGAAAGTTCACCCAAAAATGTTCTTGTTTACTAACCCTCATGTCATTCTAAACCTAAATGACTTTATTTCTTATGTGGAACCGAAAAGAAGATATTTTTAAGAATGTTGGTAACCAAACTGTAGATGTCTCTTAATCTTCCTCAAAATAGCTTCCCTTCAAGTGTAGCCTATTATATCATGATAAGATTGTAACAGTCACATTGTGTGTTTTATACCCACAAATGACTGGTAGAACCACCCAACATCAAATTCATATATTAAAAAACACTTGTTCCATTGGGCAACAGGAACCTTTAAAATTCATAAAGAATGATGCAGAGGTAGAGCTTCTAATGAAACTTCAGCCATCTGATTTGTGGCTTTACCCTTCATAAACCACACTGTAAACACACAAAGTGAAGGCAGCTTTGCTTTGCAAGGTGCATCTAGTTCCTCTCTTTGAGTTGTTTGCCCCATTAGTTTAATTTATTCTGCTTAGGAAACATTTGCTTCATCATTTCTCCTGCCCACTGGAGTGAGTGACTCCTTTGAAGATTTGATTTGTTAAATGAGCCATTTTGTTTTAATACAGTAAACCACACTCAGATCATATAAGTGTGTGGCGCTCTGCAAACTGTCAGCCACACCGGTCTGTCGTCACCCCATTGGGTGGGATGTTAATAGTTCAGACAGTTTTGGTTAGCTTGGAATCTTGGTTCAATATTATATGGAATGTCTCAGTTTATATGGATTGTTAGAAACAGCAAGCTAAAAAGAATGAAATCAGCCTCTGATGGGATCCCAGGCAGCAAAACTTTAGTCAGTCAATCTAATTGTGCCTTCAATGGTTGCCATGGGTTTATATACAAATAGACAAAATAAAAGGCTCATTTTCTCCCCATCCTCATTAGGGTTCTGGGAAAAGCTAAGAAAGTTAGTACTGAGTATTCTAGTAGAGATGTTTGCAGTGAGAGCTGTGTAGTATTTGTGGTCACACTATTACGCCTTCCATTTGAACATGTGTCTTGCTTTGTCACAAAACAGTACTATTTTTAACCACAAATAACCTCTTCTGTTGGGGATTTGAAAATATTTTTTTACATTACCTCACTTTTCTCATTAGATTTCCAAAAAACTACTTCTTTTGTGGCTGGCTTCAATTAGATGAGAATGTAGCGCATAAAAATTACAACTTGGCACAACGTTTGTTGACAAAAAGCAGTTGTGGTGCTTGGAGTGACATTCATAATTTCATTAAATGATTATGCTAATGCTCGCTATTGCAAAAAGAAAAAGAAAAAAGGAATATTTGTCTCAAAACACCCTAACATGAATTTAAGCAAAAACAGACACTCAGAAGATATCAGAAAAACACGCAGTGGTTCGTAGAGTGTAGTTGCTCTCATTTTCTCTTCCCTTTATTGACTTTATAGACATTTTTGTGGGCCAGCGCAGAAACTAAGCACTACAATACTGAGCCTGGGCTGAGCTGGCCATCCTCCAACAACACACAAATTACCCCACCGACTCTCAACATGATGTTTTTAATGGAGGAGAGGAGCTCAGACTTCAAACAGCAGCTTTATGGTAAACTATTGGCAGGGATCTAAACTTCTCATATTGTGCAATCTGC